GTCGATAAGCTGTCTAAGAAGGCATATTGGAGTAGATTTGTAGCTCTGGTTGTGGGTGTTGAGGTTGGCTGGCTCGCCGAGCTGGTTTCTTGTATCGCAGATGTTTCGTTACCATGCTGGGTAACATCCTCAGTGCAGCCTCCAATGAAGCGTCGGTGTGTTTTCCCGCCTGGTTTTTAAAACTCTGGAGTCCATTGCGATGGATTGCCTCACTTCTGGGTTTCCTACAAAGTGGAATGTATATGGGGTCGAGTTCAATGTATTTATTGATAGCATGCTTCGTGGAGTGCCAGGCTTCCAGGAATTCTCGTGCGTTTCTCGGCAGGGGATCTTGTAGATGACATTGGTCCTGTGCATGACGAGGAGTGGGTGAGCAGTTGTTGTAGGGTTGACATGGGCTTGTGTGCCACTCTGATGCCCAGCGGTCGTAGGAGTCTTGTGGTGAGTTCCGATGTGTTCCTGATGTAGGGTAGTGTGATGACTGTGTTGGGGCATGTAGTACACAAAACGAAGCTGCGTGAGAACACTGTTTAAAAGGGCAACAACACACTGCAGCAACACGGAACTACGCCAAGAGGAAAAAGAATACCTCTTCCAGGTTTTCAGGGATGATGGATATCCAAAAAACTGGGTCAGAAGATGCCTACACCATCAACATCACGAAGATACTACACATCCCGACACACTCATCACACTAACCTACATCAGGAACACATCGGAACTCACCACAAGACTCCTACGACCGCTGGGCATCAGAGTGGCACACAAGCCCACATCAACCCTACGACAAGTGCTCACCCAAACGAAAGACCCACACCCCGCCACGGACAGGACCAACGTCATCTAAAAGATACCCTGCAGAGACTGTGAGAAACACTACATCGGACAAACAGGTAGGAAACTAACAAGAAGAGTACATGAACACCAACTGGCTACAAAAAGACACGACCAATACTCACTCATCTCAATCCACATGGACAAGGAGAACCACCATTTCGACTGAGACAACACCAAAATCCTGGGACAAGCTAGGTAGAGAAAGGCACGAGAATTCCTAGAAGCCTGGCACTCCACGAAGCATGCTATTAATAAATACATTGAACTCGACCCCATATACATTCCACTACGAAGGAAAACCGGAAGTGAGGCAATCCAGCTCAATGGACTCCAGAGTTTAAAAACCAGGTGGGAAAACACACCAATGCTTCATCGGAGGCTGCACTGATGATGTTACCCAGCATGGTAACGAAACGTCCGCAATACAAGAAACCAGCTCGGCGAGCCAACCACCCTCAAGAAGGCATATTGTTACAACACAGGGATAGCATGCCAAACCAAATCAGGCTCCCAACTGCTGTATTCACAACACAGTGATATTAAAATATTCAATGACCCTCAAAATTGCTCAATTATTCCTCACCAAACTTTACAAATAACAGATCTTCAACATGGAGTTTACAACTTAACTAAAGTCTAACAATTTAGTGTTAAGAATTAACTTTAGCAGACACAAGGCAAACTAATTAGATCTACAATATAAACTCAATCTTCTTTGATCACAAACCCACGATTCTCACACCAACAGACACACAATTAAGGGATAATTTTTTTTTTCAAAAGTCAATGTGCCAGATTCAACAATAAATACCAGGCCTTCATGAAATCTTTGGATAATGGGGTGTGTTACAAGCACATAGGACTGTGCATCTTGCTTGAATTCTGAAGTCACTAGCCTATACAAAAAGCTTGTGCAGACCTCTGGAGACTTTTAACATGTTTCTTATAGATTCAGGTTCTTTTGTTAGAACTTTCATCAAGTCAAAAACTGGAGAGTAACTCGTCAGAGCAACTACAAAAACAGCTTCCCAGTCTGGCAGCTTCTAAAGCAAAACTGCCTTCTGCCCAAAAGCCTTGTCAGAGTGAGTTCACTTTTTGCATTTGCTTTCTTTCTGCCTGGATTAACCAATTCAACATTGAACCAGCTGCCATTTACTTGGCATAGCAACATCTTGGTGCTGAATTGTCTACAATGTCCTTAAACTAGTAATTAACCTACATTATCTTTCAAGGCCAGTTCCCAGAAGCAGACAACAGTCTATTTTTAAAAACAAGCTACTATTCAAAGTTCAGTTCTCAACTGCAACTCTCAACTCCAAATAAAAATAAAAGTGATGTCCCTAACAATTTGGGATACTTGTCTTTATTAGCCAATGCGTAGAAGAGAAGTGTAGACATCTTAAGCTGGAACTATATAAAATACTGATTAAACCTCAACTAAAGTGCTGCATGCAATTCTGGGCACAACATTATAGGAAGGATATGATTTCACTAGAGAGGTACCGAAAGAGATTTACCAGGATGCTAACTTGGCTAGGGAGTCCAAGCTGCAAGGAAAGATGGTTTAGGTGGGATTGTTTTCTTTGGAGCAGGAATGGCTTACAGGGGACATAATAGAGATTTATAGAGTTGGGTAGATAGGAAGGCATTTTTTTCCCTATATGTAGAGGGATTAATAGCCAGGGGCATAGATTTCAGGTCATAGCAGAAGATTAAGGGGAGAATAAGAGAGAACTATTTTTCATCCAGAGCTTGGCAGGAGTCTGAACCTCAGTGAAAGGGTGGTTGTCTCGCAACATGGAAGCAGTATTTAGATATTCACTTGTGTTGCCATAACATACAGGGCTGTGGATCAAAAGCTGGAAAATGGAATTAGTACATCAGATCAATGTAGAAACTATCAGCAAAACGGCCCCCTTCTGAGCTGTAAACATCTAAGTCTACAATATCTCAGCCTTGGATGCACTAGTGCCCCGTTCAAGTTCGATGAACCTTCAGCTCTTGTACTCTACTCCCTACTTAATACAGCATAGGATGTGGTCTGTTTTCCTTATAGCTCTCTCAACCTATCCTGCTACCTTTAATGCTTCAAGCACATATACATCCAGATCACTCTGCTCCTGCACTATCCTTGAGATGTACCATTTATGTTACATTGCAATTCCACGTTCTTCCTCCCAAAAGAGTCACTTCACACTTTCCCATACTGAATTTCATCTGCCATCTATCTGCCCACTCCACCAACTCTGTACCCTTTCAAGTTCCACTCAAATTGACCTCACTCATTATGGAGACCTGCGCACAAAGTCTAGATCATTTTTCTATATCAGGAAAAGCAAAAGGTCCAAATACTGACGCCTGAGGAGCTCCACTGCAAACCTTCCATCAGCCTGAAGAACAATGATTAACTATTACTCCTGCCACTACACACCCCCTGTTGTTAGTCACTAACAGTCCCCATTAACAACTATTCACCCTCCCAGCCTGATCATTAGCAACTCCTTTGTCTGTCCAACTGTCTTTCTCTCTCTTTGGGCTCTATCCTATCATTTACACCCTACGCCACCTACCTCCCTATTTTCTGCATACAAACTGACGTTTCCCCAGCCACCATCAGTTCTGAGGAAGGGTCACTGGACCCAAAACATTAACTCTGTTTTCTCCTCCACAGATGCTGCCAGACCTGCTGAGCTTTTCCAGCAACTTTGTTTTTGTTAACCATTACTCTGTTACCTGTCACTCAGTAAATTCTGTCTCACTGTTGCTTTTGTCCCTTCTTTCCACAAGCTCTAACTTTGTTCACATTCCCTGTGTGACATTGTGTCAAATGCCTTTTGGAAATCCATGTCCATCACATCAAAAGAATTACCCTCGTTGACCCTCTCTTACCTTAAAGATTCTAGCAAGTTAGCTAGTCATCATTTTCCCTTAAATTAACACTAACTTTCCTTAATTAACCAGCGTTTGTACACTGAACTATTCATTTGTCTCAGAATATCGTTTCCAGAACTTCCAAACCACCAAAGTTAAACTGATCGACTTGCAGTTGCTGAGCTTATAATACCACATTAAGTACAAAGACATATGTCATGATCCCAGCTGATGTTATTACTGGACAACTCAGATTGGAATATGGTTTGATATCATTTTTGTGTTATTTTCATTCAACAAGTTGCTACTTCACTGAGATACAAGCATGCAGTGCTGCAGATTTGGTTTGAATAATAAAACAAAAGTTTATTATGCAAAAGAAGTGAAGGTAAAAGAGAACAAACCAAACTTTTTACATTTAGCACAATTTGAAAACACAAAGTACAATTCCATCTATTCCAACACCACCTCTTTACAGAGTTCAAAAGTTCTCTTCTCTATCACAACTGGAGGTTTGACTTAACCAGTTCTTTCAGTTCTCAGTCTTGAGAGTTTGATGGCCTCTTTCTTGATTATTCACACAACTGAAGTTAACCTTTCACAGCATCATATAACCCCTTCAAGAGTTCAAACAAAACACTTCTAGTCTGGACTTTCAAATGAAAATCTATTTTTTAACTATTCACAACTAACTCCTTACACAGGAGAAACTATATCTAACTTCAAACAGAATTTTTGAAAATTGAAACCAAAAGTCTCCTGCTCTATAGGTTTTTCTCCTAAGCAAAAGAATTAATTCCTGCTGCTGCTAAACCAGAAGGCAGTTCATGCTTTTTCAATGCTTACTCTGATTGCAGAATTTTCACAATGCCAACAAATACCCATTATCATTCCAGGAACCCCCAATTCTCGTACTGGTTTAAGGAAAAATCACAGCTCTAGAAAATCTGACTAGTCATTTAATTCTCTCATACATGCAGACCAAAACACACCTGTGATTAATATAATTTATTTTGCATTTTGAACTAATGCATACATATAAAACATACACTTTTGCACATAACATTTTCAATTCTCCAGTCCTCTGGACCACCCCCGAGTGTAAGGAAGACAAAAATTATGGCCACTGCCTCCATCATTACCACCGTCACTTCCCTCCATATCCTTGGATGCAATTTAATCATCTGGCCACAACACATGAAACGAAAAGCAACCTATCCAATACACCATAGCATCAATTCTAAACCCTTCTGGTGCCCGAATTAACCAGGAAATCCAATCACTGTAGTCACTTGTGAACTCTCTGGTGTTTCAGCAGGGTGGATGACTGACTGAATCCCTTCCTACACTTGGAGCAGATGAACGGTTTCTCCCCAGTGTGAATTCGCTGGTGTTTAGTAAGATCAGAGGATCGCCTGAACCCAGTCCCACAATCAGAGCATCTGAACGGTCTCTCATCAGTGTGAACACGTTGATGGGACATCAGTTCCTTGGAACATTTAAAGCTCTTTCCGCATTCTGGACATTTGAAAGGTTTGTCTCCAGTGTGAATTCGTTGGTGTACCGTGAGGTCAGAAGATTGCCTGAACCCAGTCCCACAGTGAGAGCACCTGAATGGTCTCTCATCGGTATGAATACGTTGATGGGACATCAGTTCCCAAGAACTTCGAGAACACTTCCCACAGTCAGGACATTTAAAAGGTCTCTCATCAGTGTGAACTCGCTGGTGTCTCAACAGGTTGTATGACTGAGTGAATCGCTTCCCACAATAGGAGCAGGTAAATGGTCCCTCTCCATCGTGAACTCGGCGGTGTCTCAGCAGAGTGGATGACTGAATGAATCCCTTCCCACACATAGAGCAGGTGAATGGCCTTTCCCCAGTGTGAACTCTCTGGTGTACAGTGAGTTGAGATGATCGTTTGAACCCAGTCCCACAGTCAGAGCACCTGAATGGTCTCTCATCCGTGTGAACACGCTGATGGGACATCAGTTCCCCGGAACTTTTATAGCACTTCCCACAGTCTTGGCATTTGAAAGGTCTCTCCCCAGTGTGAACACGCCGATGTATCAGCAGGTGGGATGGCTCAGTAAATCCCTTCCCACACTCTGAGCAGGAAAATGGTCTCTCCACAGTGTGAACTCTCTGGTGAGAGAGCAGGTGGGATAACTGAGAGAATCCCTTACCACATTCGGAACAGATAAATGGTCTCTCTCCAGTGTGAATGCGCTGATGAGTTTCCACTTTTGATGGGGAACTGAATGCCTTCCCACAGACCCCACATTTCCACGGTTTCTCCTCAATACAACTGCAATTGTGTCTTGACAGGCCAGATGATCGGCTGAAACCTCGTCCACATAGAGAACACGTGTACAGTTTCTCTCCACTTTCAATGGTGCTTTTACTTTCCATGTTCAAAATCCAAGGATGTTCAGCTCATCATAAATTGGGGAACATCAGATGCTTGTTTTCAGTTTCCCAACTGCAAATACTTCCCATCTAATACCTTGCGAAACTGATTTAAAATAGAAAAATGGGAGTGAGAGAGAACCCACAAAATCACAAAGTCAGGTTGTGTGGTAGCTGAATGAATCCGGAAATTTGAGAGGCTGGTATGAGGAAACAGAAAAACTACGACCATGAAAGTTGCTGTATTCTCATAAAAACCTAACCGGTTCAGGGAATGTTCTTCAGGGAAGAGAATCTGTCACCCAGTCTCGACTACATATGACTCTGACCTCAATGAGAGAGAAAAGAAGGAGGGGAGTGTATGGAAGAAATAGGCAGCTGAAAGAGAGGGATTTTATGCTTGACTAGTACTTTGTCAGAATCTCCAAGACCCTTAACATCCACCACATTGAAGGACGAGTGAAGCAGCAGTCTGTGAAAATCATCACGTTCAAGTTTCCTCCAAAACGCACACTGTCCTGCCTTGTCTCAAACCCTGTACTGAATGATCATAAGCTGGCTCTACTTAAATACTGCGAAGACTGAATCCACGGACTTCAGGCCCTGCTACAAACCCAACTCCCTCAACCACTGACTCCATCCCTGGCAACTGTCTTGAGGCTGATCCAGACTGTTCACCAATGTTCCCTCTACTTTTTAAAATTGAAATTAAAGTTCCTTCACACTGCCCCATCAAATGTTCACAGGACAGGTACAACGTAGTGTTAGATATGGAATAAAGCACCCTCTATTCTTTTAAACTGAAATTTATGCTCCCTCTAATCTTTTAACCTGACAGTAAAGCTCCCTTGTCAATGTCTCCATCAAACACCCCCAGGACAGGGATAGCATGGGATTAGAAACAGAGTAAATCTCCCTCTACCTCTCAAAACCAAATGTAAAGCTGCTTGAGCAGCCCCTCATGGGACACAGTAACAAAATACAAACTAACACACATAGAAATTTGAGGAAATGGAAACTTACTAAATTAAATAACATTTTCTGTGGTGATGATAGAGTGCCCATTGTTCTCTCTAAAGGCTTCTATCATGCCAGTGAGTACTGCACACTCGCTCGCCAGGGACACCCAAGGGGGAACATAACTGCCTAATGTTCCCGCTAACCTGAGAAGTTGTGCATGTATGCAGCCACTCCAATGTTCTGTGCGCAGCAATCAGTGTCAACACGCCTGATCACAGCAATGACTTCTGATTCCTCAGAAGCCCACACCGCTGGTTAGAAAAGTGAAGGGCACACGGGTGTTCACAACCACAGGGAGACATTTCACTCCAAGATGAGCTTCCACCCACATATCTCCATCATCATTAGAGCCACCTATTTCCATCACCCACACCATTCTTGTATCACAGAATAGAATCCGTGCTGTGGGGAAGCAGATCATTCAGCCTATCAAGTCCCCATCAACCCTCCGAAGAGCATCCCACCCAGACCCTGAAACCACCACCCCCCCCAACCCTATCCCTGTCACTTCCATGGCTAATGGACACTACAGGCAATTCAGTATGGCCAATCCACTTAAAATGCACATATCTGGACTGTGGGAGGAAACCATACTGGGAGAATGTGCAGTCACCCTAGGGTGAAATCAAACCCAGGTCCCTGGCACTGTGAGCCACCTTGCCGCCCAAATTCTCAGCTCATCTTCTGCTGAAACTCTCATCCATTCCTTTGTTACCTCGAGACTTAATTATCCTAACAAAGTCCCACCAGCCTCCCACATTCAACCTCACTGTAACGCATCCAAAACTCTGCTACCCGTACCAAGTCATGTTCACACATCACCTCTGTGCTCACTAACTGATATATTTGTTGAGTGAAGAAGCACCAAGTTATTGAAATTCTTATTCTAAAATGTTTCTTTGGCTCTTTTTTCTCTTGGTAGTCTCCTTCAGCCTCACAACCCCGAGTTATCTACTCTGCCTGAATTCCAACCCCCTTAGCCTCCTGATTTTAACTGTTTTACCTCTAATACTGTCCTTTCAGTTTACAAGGCCATAAGTTTTTGAATCTGCTCCCTAAACCTCTCCGATTTTCAACCACTCTTTCTTTCTTTCTTTCTTTAAGATTCTCCTTAGAAATTTCCCTTCGATCCAGTTTTTCACTTGTCCTAATATGAGGTCTGGTGTCAGATGTTGATTTATGACATTCCTCTGAAATATCTCAGATCATTCTATTGAATTACAAGTTGGAAATAATACCAACTGTTGTTTATTTGGACATCTATCACTGTTCCTTCATTACCATTTGTTGAATAACCTGTAATTCCTTACCTAACAGCATTGTGGGAGCACCTTCACTATGCAAACTGCAGTGGTTCAAGAAAGTCAGACATGTTCTCCATTGGCAACTGGGGATTACCAATTTTATTGACATCTGCAGAAAGAGACAGAGTTAATGCTTCAGGATATTCAGAATGAATTACAGGGAATAAACATGGTGCAGAATTTGATGGTTAAGATAAGCAGAAGAGAAAAGAACTAAAGTGCAGAAAAAGTAATTCCTGACTGAAAGATACTATGGAAAGATAAAGCTTTTATGTTAGTAGCATATGGTCACGGAATGGGCCGTGATGGAAATCTCATTGATACACAGTTGGCTAAAGTAGCGAGAAATATTAAACAGCCAAGTATTATTAACAACAGGGAAAGGACGGAAGTGAAACAGAGAAATGTAACAAAATCGATTCAGCACCTGTGTAAAGGAGACCTGTTGGCCCTCGAGTAACAGAACCACTCACAGGTAAGACAGCACAGTGCTAGAAACTCAAAACTGTCGATGAATGGTCAAAAATGCTCAACTCTGGAATATATTGCTGGAAACTGCAGCTGGAAAGATATCAGAAGAAATGACCAGGAAGATGGTGATGTCACCTTGCAATTGTCAGGAACATCACACACAGGAACAAAGAGCATCTGGGTCTGTGCAAACCAGAGACTAACACATATTGTGAAGGACAGGAGGATCCCTGAGAGAGGGCAGACTGGTTCAGCAATGAGATTTTAATTGCGAGCTAAGGTGGGAGATTTCACAGAGTACAGGTTTATGATTAGTTTAGATAAGGTAGATAAAGATGATGACTGGGAAGCCCAGGTTCAAGTCTCATCTACACCAGAGGTGTTGAATAACATCTCCAAACAGGTTGGTTAGAGGGCCAAAAAAGGTAAAGATGATGTCCACATTAGTTGATAAGAAATAGATATTTGGATACAGATTGAAGATTTTAGACAAGGTCCTGGGATGCTGCTCCTCAAATCCCTGAAGGTGGCACAGAAGGTTAAGAGGATACTTAAGGAGGCATATGGGACACTTACCTTTATCAGTCGAGGCATAGAGTAAAAGAGCAGCAAGATTATGTTGGAGCTATACAGGACTTTGATTATGACACAGATGAATTACTGTGTGCAGTTCTGATCTCCACACTATAGGAAGCAGGTGATTGCAATGGAAGATGCAGAGGTGTTTCATCAGGATATTGCCTGGGCTGGAGCTTTTTAGCTTTGAAGAGAGGCTGAATAAGCTCTGGTTGTTTTCTTTCGAGCAAAGAAGACTTAAGGGAGACTTGATAAAGATGCTTCAGATTATAAGGGGTGTGGGCAGGGTGATTAGAAAATAGCTGTTCCCCTTAGTTGAAGGGGCATAATTTTAAAATGAAAGGCAGGGAGGTTTAAGAGAGGATTTGAGTATTTTCATTTTCACCCAGAGAGTGGTCGGGGTCTGGAACGCCCTGCCTGTGAGGGTAACCTCACCAATGTTTAAAAAGTACTTGGATGAGCACTTTTAATGTTATTACATTCAATGCTATGAGCCTAGTACTGGAAAAAGACTAGTGTAGATTTAGAGTGGCTTTGGTTGTACAGACTTGACAGGCCTCTTCTATACTGTATGATACTATGATTCTGTGATCTACAGGAGAATATGATGAAGAAATTAAATGTAAGAGTGGTAACATCAGGGAGCTCAATACTTACATTCAAAAGCCAATATTATCCAGGTTCTGAAGACTCAAGTGATAGTGCTACAATTTCATGTGAGGTTTGTTTGGAGTACATGACTGCATATCCTCTTTAAATATCTGTTAAAAAGTTTAGAACAGTCAGTGTCAGGGCACGTTAGAAATTCAAACAGACAAATGATTCCCTTTGAGTTTTCTGTGCATATATCCACCCTTCCAAGCCACAGTAAAAGAAGTTTCCAAAATATATCATTGTCAATACAGGATAGAAAAGAGTCATATCCAGCTCTAAACATTAACACTAGTTTTCTCTCTCCATTGAGGCTGCCCAACCGATGGTGTTTCTCCAGCACCTTCTGTGTTATTTTAAAAATTCACATTATTCTGCACCCCCGTACCAGGATAACCGTGCATGCTCCCTGATTCACATTGCCCCTTATTGTATTGGCAGTCCCTCGATTCGAGGATGATGTCTACTTTCTGCACTTGATCTTCATATAACTGAACAGAACCGCATGGGGCAGGACATTCTGCAAGGTAGTGTGATGCAGACAGCAGGATTTTCTTCCCTTTTCAATAAGACACTGGGTGTGAAATAATACAACCTTCTGGACAAGTTGTTTCCACTGTGAGCAACGAGCAACATACTCTTCCGTGTCATTCCAAACATTGCCCTAAACACAGATGGCGGTCGCACATCGCACACTACACTCTGCCCATAGTAAAGATGGCGTCTGCTGCCGGGCCTGCTATTAAGAGGAAGCCTTTATTTGAGTAGTGGTCCCGTTTGGTTCAAACGGGGGAACAGGACGTTTTTATTCGGGATTTGCGATGTTTACAAGATATTCGCAGAGCCTCTCCCTGCACCCGCCGGATCTATCGCTCCCTCCACATTCCCTCAACCTTACCATTTGCAGATCCGAAACGAAACCAAACAATCGTCGCCATATCCCATTCTGCTCCGTTTTCCTTCGGTATTACGCCTGCGCACTGCTCTTGTGTTCTGTGCATAGATGAAATTCTCCACCGCGCGGAATCCTGGGTTAATGAACCGCCATGGTTCAGTTTCTTCCCCCCGCTGAATTTCTTACTGTTGTACTTTGAGTGTCTTTTGTATCACCAACATGCCATACAGTAGAAGAATGGAAATTTAAACCTTGGAATGGTGTCTTCTCCAAGGTTTGATGAGCTACTGCTTCCAGCTTTGTTATTCCCCTACAACCCACCTTCCTGCTTCAGATACAAATAACATAATGTTAGAACTGCAGTATCATTTTAAATGTCAAAATCATTCCCAATGCAGAGTAGAGAATTTCAATAATAAAGTGGTAAAATGACGAATCTTTTAGAACCTTACGAACAAGAAACTTTGCATCTCTCAGTACCTTCACAGTACAAAGCAATGGATATTTAATTTTAATTTAAACTAATCCCGATTTTCAATCATATTTTTACTGACACTACTTTACACGGTCTTCAAACAAATTATTATTTAAAGATGTGTTAACATTCAATGTTAATATGTAATTCTGAAGATTCTCAAACGTGCAAGGGCCTCAGATTCCTGAAAATGCACATACACAGCAGGCCCAGGGAAGACGTGGAGCAGATCTGGACTTTACTTGTTGAGAACGAAGTTGGACAGGTGGAATGGAGTGTTTTGTACTCACCCAAGGATTCCCGGCATGGTGCTTGATGCATGACCCTCAAGCACGTCTGCCCTATTACCCACAATTCTCCCCTTGCCCCATTCCTCCCTCCCAGAACTATGATAGGGTTTCCTTCGTCCTCATTTTCTACACTATCATGCTTCTTTTTCAAAGTCTTGGCGATCTGCAGCACAGGAAAAAGACCCTTAAGACCCATCATGTCTGTGCCTTTCAAAGCAACCACCAAACTATTCAAAACCCATTTTCCAGCACTGGGTCGACAGCCTCAGCATCGCAGTTGCACATTTAATACTTCTTATAAATTATGAATTTTTCAGCATCGACCACCCTTACAGGTAGTGAATTCCTGTTTCTCAACACCCTCTGGATGAAAAAGTTACTCCTTACATATTCTCCAATCATTCTGTCCTGTCCTTAAATAAATACTCCTGGTCATTGATCCCTCCATCAAGGGGAAAAGTTTTTCCTGTCTACCCTATCTGTGCCCCTCATAATTTAATACAGCTCAATTGTGTCCCCTTCCTTGCTCGAATGTAAACAATGACAGTCTGTCCAATCTCCCTTCATAACTGAAACTCTCCAGCCCAAG